AAAACGAACTTTAAACAAAGATGACCATGAATTAAATCTATTTTTAAACAACAAAACATGACGGATTCACATGATTTAAACAATGTTAACAATTTCTGAAAATACATAAAACACATGAAACAAATTGAAGAAACAATTAATTTAAACTTCAATTTGAATCTAACAAACATTAACTAACAATTCCTTTTTTTTTTACAAAAAATTAACATGAAAAACAACTAATTAATTTCCCATTTGAATCTGAAAATTAATTCAACAAAACACATGAACAAACTAAAAAATTATTTCAACGACGAACAAACAAAACAAGAATTGAATTATTTAACGATTTTGGATCCGGAAAATATATGAACAAAAATAAAACTTAGAACAACTAACCGGAGATGAACAACGACGAACTTGAACCATGTATGGACTGTTTTGACAAATATCGACCAAAGCTCGAACAAAAGCTTGAACTCGACTTTAAGAAGTAACGTCGAAACAGTAGCAGCAGTTGGAACGATGAGGTGAAGCAGCAGATGCCGGCTCAAAACAGCAGCAGCTCGACCTCGACGTGACTGGAAGGAGGAGAATGAGCAGCATCGCGGCAGCAGGAGAAAGACGATGAAGCAGCGGCGATGGTGGCTTCGAACGGGCAGCAGCGGACGAGGAAGTAGAAGCAATGATGAATGAGCTGAAGAAGCTATGGTCGTTGACTGTTGCTGCGTTCAACAGCTATGGTCGTCGAGGAGGAAGATGGCGATGAAGAAAGCTGGAGCAACGACGCAGCAGCTATGGAAAAATAATGGAGCGGCAGCGTGAAGGTCGTTTGGTTGAAGGAGGAAGACGACGCAACAGTGTGTGTGTGTGTGTGCCGTGAGTGTGTGTGTGTGTGCCGTGAGTGTGTGTGGCGTGAGGGGAAGGAAGGAAGCCATTGATGGAGCTTGGAGCTTTTTGGGAAGATGAAGAAAAGAAGAAGAAGAAAGATAGGGGGGCGGGTAGTTTAGTGTTTAGGTTAGGGTTTTTTGATTTTGTTTTTTTTTTTTGTTTTTGTTTTATTTTTGAAATGCAAGATAATAAGGGTGTTGGGTTATGGACTGGGTCGACCCAGTTCGAAATGGACTGGGTC